CGAATACTACCTAATAGCTAGTTGGCTTGACCCTAAGTGTCACGCTTGTAGCACATCTATTTTTACCACCACAGATCAAAGTCGAATCGAATTCTTTTAGGAAATTGGCACATATATTTTGGGGGAAGAAACGATAGGTATGGGAATAAGAAAATTCATTATGGTGTTTGCTTGCTTGCAGCTTACCCTCACGTTGAATAATTGAACGATTAACTAGTATGTATATTAACACGCACACGCACGCCCACACGAGTGCGAGCAGGCGCCCGAACGACAAATTTGCACGCAAGATGGGACTTTCCCCTGTTTTTGGCCATAGTATGAGTGGGTGGGACCTCATTCCTCACAGATCAAAAACTATTCTATCCACTTCATCTGTTCAATCTCGAAGAGTATTACTGATACTAATCCTTTATTAAGTGCGGTAAAACATGATAAGTGACAGCGTATAATCTTTAGAACATGGTCACTTTAAAGAAGCGTTAAAGAAGAAAAAAATGACACTTCGTGAATTTGGAAAGTGGCCGATATCAAAAGAATTTCTTAGGAAATTGATGTTGTTGAAGGTATAAGTTGTTCAACCTGAGATTTTCCACATTTTGAAATAGCACATTCGCGAAAAAATCAGTTGACTGATATAAATTAAATATAGGCATGATATCTTAAACTGTGATTTTTAAACGAGATGTGAGGCATGCTGACGAAATGAGTTACACATTGCAATCCAACAAATGGGGACATCGGCCGAAAACCGACACTGGGTTCATATTTATAGATTTTAAATTGATGCTTGTTTGTTTTTTTAAAATCTACCGTGACTTTTATTATTCTATTCTGGCAAAATGTTAAAACTCCACCTATAAAGTTGGTGTATCAATTTCCATACGGCTTAAATCCGAGAAGTAATTCTTTTTTGTCAGCATGTTCAAGAACTTGACTTTGAGTACGTCCGGCATCTTTTCCAGTATTTTATTTTCAAGTTACAACTCGTCATCCCCACATCGCGTAGACGCCTCACCCCCCC